CGAAGGCTTTAGTGGCATGGTTCGCATGCCGCCCCCTTCTCATGTTCGCACACCCCTCATTCGTTTCGTGGCCCCATGGGGAGCTCCACGGAAGGCCCCAGTAGCGGTGTCCGCATGCGCTTCCACCAGTCAAAATCACGTTTTGCAGCCCCATAGGGAGCTCCACCGAAGGCCTGAGTGGCGGTGTTTGCAGTCGTTTCCCCCACCCAGTACGTCGCTTCGTGGCCCTACCAGGAGTTCCACCGGAGGCCGCAGTGGCGGTGTCCGCATGCGTTTCCCCCACCCAGTACAGCGTTTCATGGCCTCATAGGGAGCTCCACCGATGGCCCCAGTGGCGGTGTTCGCATGCGTTCCCCCCACCCAGTGCAGCGTTTTTCGTGGCCCCATAGGGAGCTCCACCGAAGGCCTCAGTGGCATGGTTGGGACGCCGCCCTCCCCTTCTCGGTACACACCTCACACGGTTCGTCCCGCCGAAGGCCCAAGTGGCATGGTTCGCATGCTGCCCCCCATCCACGTGGGTTCACCCTTTACGCGTTTCGTGGCCCCACAGGAAGCTCCACCGAAGGCTCCAGTGGCATGGCTCGCATACGTTTCCCCACGCAGTACAACGTTTCGTGGCACCATAGGGATCCCCACCGAAGGCTTTAGTGGCATGGTTCGCATGCCGCCCCCTTCTCATGTTCGCACACCCCTCATTCGTTTCGTGGCCCCATGGGGAGCTCCACGGAAGGCCCCAGTGGCGGTGTCCGCATGCGCTTCCACCAGTCAAAATCACGTTTTGCAGCCCCATAGGGAGCTCCACCGAAGGCCTGAGTGGCGGTGTTTGCAGTCGTTTCCCCCACCTAGTACGGCGCTTCGTGGCCCCACCAGGAGTTCCACCGGAGGCCGCAGTGGCGGTGTCCGCATGCGTTTCCCCCACCCAGTACAGCGTTTCATGGCCTCATAGGGAGCTCCACCGATGGCCCCAGTGGCGGTGTTCGCATGCGTTCCCCCCACCCAGTGCAGGGTTTTTCGTGGCCCCATAGGGAGCTCCACCGAAGGCCTCAGTGGCGGTGTTCGCATGCGTTTCCCTTACCGAGTGTAGCGTCTCGCGGCCCCATAAGGAGTTCCACCGAAAAGCCTCAATCGCGGTGTCTGCTTGCGTTTTTCCACCCAGGACAGCGTTTCGTGGCCCGTTGAGGAGATCCACCGAAGGCCACAGAGGCGGTGTTCACATGCGTTCCCCTTACCCAGTGCAGCGCTTCGAGGCCCGACAGCTCCGCCGACGGCCTGAGTGGCGGTGTCCGCATGCGTTTCCCAAACCCAGTACAGCTCTTCGGGGCCATGGGGGGAGCTCCATCGAAGACCCCAGTGGCGGTGTTCGCATACGTTTCCCCGATCCAGTACAGCGCTTCGTGGCTGAATAAGGATCTTCACTGTACGCCTCAGTGGCGGAGTTCGCATGCGTCTCCCCCACCCAGTACAGCGCTTCGTGGCGAAACATGGAGCTCCACCGGAGGCACCAGTGGTGGTGTTCGCATGCGTGTCCCCCGCTCAATACAGCGTTTCGTGGACCCATAGGGAGTTCCACTGAAGGCCCCAGTGGCATGGTTCGTATTGCGGCCCCGCTCCATTTCGGCATACCCCTCACACGCTTCGTTACCCAACATGGAGCGCCACCGAAGGCCCAAACGGCTGCGCCCGCATGCTTCCCCGCCCCATTTCGGCACAACGCGCATTGTGGCTGAATAAGGAGATCCACCGAAGGCGATACCCACAACGGCGATACTCACAGCTGCAATGGTTAAGCCCTTCGCCAGTATACTTTGAAACGGATTATTGGCAATTGTCTCTGTTGATACGCGAGGGTTTGAGAGGGGGTGGATGAGGGACTGCTTGGGATGAGTTCATATTCGAAGTGAGCGATGGGGCAGGGTCATATGCAAGTTATACTTTCCCAAGGTGTTGCGGTCAACTGGGTGGGGGGGCGGCGGGCGGGTAGAGTTTACATTCTTTTCTTCGAAAGGGGAATCTACGTGCTGCAACCTATGGCGGCGACGGGGCGGCGGGCAGCGACGAGGCGGGCGGCGACATGGCGGACAGAGTGGCCCGCAGGCCCAGGCGACGGGCGGCGACGAGGCTGCGACGGCGTCGACATGGCGGCCAGAGCGGCCCGCAGGCCCAGGCGACGGGCGGCGACCAGGCGGCGACGGCGGCGACATGGCGGCCAGAGCGGCCCGCAGGCCCAGTTGCTTAGAAGAGAAGTGAGAACCCCTTCATGCAAACACTGTTTGGGGAGTGTTGCGTGCGTGTATATAGGTGTATATATCACAAATGAATAACGAAGGAGCGCGGACGCTGGGATTGTGTGGGGGTCGAACTGCCCCCCCCCGTGACATGCAAACAGGGGGTCGGGGGGGTCGAACCACCCCCCCCGTCCCCCCGCCCTCGAATGGGGGGGTCGAACCGAGGGGGGGGGCCCTGAGTTGCAAGGAGGGGGGGGGCCTATCTAATGGAGGGGGGTTCGAATTGCCCCCCCCCTCCCCACCCCTCCCTTTGAGAATTGCAAGGCGAACGGTCGAACCAGCTCCCCCTACCCTTCGCCAATGGCAAACGACGACGATGACGACGACGACGACGACGACAACGACGACGATCACGATGACAACGACGACGGCGACGACGACGACGAAGGCGGCGGCGACGGCGACGGCGGCGGCGACGGCGACGGCGGCGGCGACGGCGACGGCGGCGGCGACGGCGACGGCGACGGCGAAGGCGACGGCGACGGTGACGCGCCGGCGGCGACGGCGGCGGCGATGGCGACGGCGGCGGCGGCGGCGGCAGCGGCGACTACTACGACGACAAAGACGACGACGACGACGACGACGACAGTGACGCCGACGACGACGAAGACGACGACGGTGACCACGACGACGACGACCACGACCACGACCACGACCACGACCACGACCGCGACCACGACCACGACCACGATAACGACAACGATGATGACGACGAAGACGGCCGCGGCGGCGACAACGGCGCCGACGACGCCGCCGACGACGTACGACGACGACGACGACGGCGACGACGACGACGGCGACGGCGAAGGCGACGGCGACGGAGTATGAACCGAATGTTTTCCGACGCTACAGCCGCCTGGAAGAAAGAGGTTAGGATAGGGTAGGATAGAGTAGAGTGGGGTAGAGTAGATCAGGGAGGTGTAGAACAGGGACGATGGCAGAGAAACATCGGATACAATACGATTGCCGTAGAAGAGAATAGAGTAGATAGATTAGAGCAGACTAGGAATATGTTGTTGGAGTCGAGTAACGAAGACTCGGGCAGGGTAGGCTCAGTAGGGTATATCATAATAAGATAGAGTCGAGTAGGGTAGATGGTAGAGTAGAGTCAGGAATACTAGCGTACACCAGAGTAGCGTCGAGCAGAAAGGAGCAGAGTGCATCAGAGTGGAGTAAAGTAGAGTATGGGTAGAGTGCTATAGAGTAGAGCGGGAGTAGGCGTAAGAGTATAGTAGGTGTAGAGTAGGCGTATGCGTAGGAGTAGGAATAGGAGTAGGAGTGGGACAGAAAAGAGTAGAGTAGGGTAGAGTAAGGTCGAGTAGAGCTCAGCATACTGGAGAAGAGTGGGCAGGTGGCCTAGTATGTCCGGGTATGCCAAAGTCGAAGAAGGGTAGAGTAGAGTAAAGTGGAGTAGAGTCCACCCGAGTCCAGTCCAGTCTACCCCTGTCAAGTCTACAGTGGAGGCCCATGCCAAGAAAACACACTGCTTGCCTCCAGGGTGCCCTGGGCTTTGACTTTGATGGTTTTGGTATGGGAAGCCTGACGATCCCACACCAAACATTCATGGACATCGTGGGGTCTCAGGGTTGGGTTTCTTGTGGAAGGTTTCTGGTGCTCGGGCCCCCACTGTACTTCGGTCAACTCCAGTCCACTCCATGCCAGCCTTCTGATCTATTTGGACTGGGGGGTGTGCACCCTTCCCCGATTGTCCGGGCGCGCTACATGCTTCTTGGAGGGCACGGTGCCGACGTGTCAAGGATTTGTTCCCAAACAAGCAGCAAGAGTCCACCAAACGCGTTCCCTCGTTTGTAAATATGAATGAGTGCGTATACACTCATATACACACGTATGTCTATACGCATGTATGTTGCACACACATATATATACACACGTGTACAGTTGCATGTGTGTACATATATATATGTGTATATCTATACACATTATTATGTATACCATCACATGCGTCGTTCCAGAAAAGTGTTATCGTCTTACAGGGATCGAGAGGTGCGCTTTCTGGTCCTCTGTGGAAGCTGGCGGAAGACCAGCGCAATCTGGCGGAATCAAAACGGCGGCGGCTCCGCTGACGGCAGCCAGCGGAACTTTGGCGAAAGGCGGCGGCAACAAAACTGGGGTCACGGTTGCTCAAGTCGGCTATTTGTGTCTCGTCCGCCTCTTGGGGTGCCCCAGTGCAGATCCCAGGATCGATTGCTGAGGCGGCCGCGAACAAAACGGAAGGTTGCGCCAATTTTCGGCTTCTACATCTATCATTGATCTTCAGAAAACAAAACTAGATTTGTTTTGGCGAGTCCCGATTTCTTTAAAGAAATCAGCTGATGGGGATTGGACCCCCGAGGTGTTCTTAGATTTCGATTTCGAGGTTCCCTTGACCAAGTATTAGATGTCCTCTTTCGATTCTTGACTGCCCCAGGGCCCTTGCTGGGCCCCGGGGCAGTCAACAATCGACCCACGTCGAGAAGTCCGTCCCAGGGAAGGAGCCCAGACCCGCAGGGGCCCATGTCGTGGAAAGGCCACGACGCCAGGGGCGGGGGTCATGCGCACGTTTCTCCACGCAGTCATCGGTGGATCCGTGTCGAAGCTCGGCCCCCGGAGTCAACAGGCCTCGCCCGAGGGGCTCCTGCCTGCTCTGTGCCAGCGGGCCGGCGGCGCACAGCCCGCCGCTGAGGGCGCGTGCGGCGCCGAGCCCCGGCCCCCGAGGACAGCGCCGGCGCCCTGTCGAGCCTGCTGGGCGAGGAGGACGCCCGAGCTTCTTTTCTCGGGTGTTGCCAGGAGTGCCCCTGGCCCACGGCGCCCCCGGGATGTCCAAGAAGGAGGACCCCCCCCCCGCGAGGCCCAGAGGGCCCCGGGGCCTCCAGGATCGAGCGAGGAGCTGGTGACACCTCGGGCCAGGGGCGCTTCTGGCAACAGCCGATCTTTCGCCGTGAAGATACAAGGGTCCCGAGGGAAGCGGTTCCTGATCCGCTTCTTCTGGTTCAGAGATGGGGTCCTGGGGAATGGGAGGGATGCTGAGGATAGGATTGGGTCCAAGGGCAGAAAGACGTTGTTTGAGGCACCTCGTCCTTAGGGCCCCATCCCTCAGGGCTCCATCTTTGAACCACCGACACGGGGCCCAGCTTTTTCGGAAACGGCACGGGACGAAGAGCTGGTTTTGGGGGAAGCGCCCGGTCGCGCGCGCGCGATGATGACGCCGCCGCCGCCGTCGCCGTCGTCGTCGGCGTCGCCGTCGTCGTCGTCGTCGTCGTCGTCGTCGTTGTGGTCGTCGTCGTCGTCAGCGTCGGCGTCAGCGTCGGCGTCGGCGTCGGCGTCGGCGTCGTCGGCGTCGGCGTCGTGGTCGTCGTCGCCGCCACCGCCGTCGGCGTCGCCGTCGCCGACGTCGTCGGGTGGAGGAAGCCGCCGTCACCGTCGTTGTCGTCGAAGAATGTCGGCGGCTCCGAGCCATCGCCTTCGCCGCCGCGGGGTCTTCGTCGGGGGCGCCTTCGCGCCCCCGACAAAGACCACAGCCGGCTGAAAACCTATTCCAGTCCATCCAGGCCAGTTCTCCCAGCCGCGTCCAGCCATGGCGGCGAGAGTCCTTGATGGCCAGGAACGCCCGCACGCCTCCCAAGGCGACGCCGCCGGCGTCGTCGTCGAGGGGTTCCGGCTGCGGACATCTCCACGAGTGAGCTCCGGCGAGGATTTCGAGGCGGATCTGGCCTTGGTCACGAGACGCTCCAGGGAGGTTTAGCACGGGCAGGAAAGCGCCCCAGCAGCCTGGACATTCGGTGCTCGACCCTCGCGGTGCAGTCAAGACGCTGGCAACTTTCGAGGGCCCTCCCGGGCTCAGGAGGGGCTCTGCTTCTGCGCCCACTCCTGCGATGTATGGGTCGTGGATATTCTCTTCGTGGCCCGGGCTCGCCGTGGCCAGGACAGCCCCCCCTGTTCCTCCTGCAGCGTCTCTTGTAGCAGAGGGATGGATCTCTCCATTTTTTCTTTCGATGGATCTTTCGATGGATCTTTCGATCTCTTCTTGTCTTATAGTACAACGATGAATCTTTCGATTTTTTCCTTATGGGCCTCACTATATGGGTCGGATGAGATGGTGTCGGCGGATCGCGCCGCATCGCCGATGCATCGGCGATGCGGCTCGATGTGGAGCCCTACTTTTTCCACGCCGACGCCGCCGATGCACCGCCGATGTCGCCGATGCATCGGCGATGCGGCGCGATCCTCCGACCCCATCTTCGGCGGCGAGCCCGGGGGGGGGGAAGTGAGCAGGGGGGGGGACGCTTAGAATGCCAGAGGGCTCCTGAGAAGCTCAGCCGCCTCCTGAGAAGCTCCGCCGCCCTCTGAGAATGCCTTCTCCCTCCCACCTTCCCCCCCTCGTTCGCCGCCGACATCTACTTTTACCCCCTTTTGGGAGGCCCCTCTCTGTTCGGGATCACGCAAAGGGTCTATGTGCCCGGGTGTGCGTGCGTGCGTGCGTGCGTGCGTGCGTGCGTGCGTGCGTGTGTGTGTGTGTGTGTGTGTGTGTGTGTGTGTGTGCGTGTGGGGGGGGGGTCGATCCGTTTCTGCACCAAGCCGCCCAAAAGAGATACTCCCCAGCCGCCAGCAAACTCCCGATGGTTGCCGACTGGCGGGAATGCGGGGGGCATCTGTTTGCGGCAGTTTGGTGCACCAGCGGCTCGAACTCTTGCCCTCCCTCAGGGTCAACCCCCTCTTCGGTGGATCCCGGTCTCTGCCGGCGGAGAACTCGGCGTCACCCAAACATGCTTCGACGATGTGTTTAAGTCGTGCCTGCCCCTCTACAGGGGTAATACTCAAAAATAGTTACGACATAGTCAGGGGATTGTTTTTTTGACTATGTTTGCCCATTTGTTCTTTTTTGTTTTTTTTTTGGCGCGCAAAATCCCCCTGTAGGGGGACACGCCCGACTTACGCATACTTCCTATCTGTGCGTCGGCCCCCCCGGGGGCGACGCGCGGACCGAGCAATCTCACAGCACACGCGCCGTGGCGGGCGCTCTCCGGCCACCCCGGGTCGGGAAGCGCTGCACCACAAGGCAGACGCATCGTATTTGCACGTCTTCGTGGGTCCCAAGAAAGACTCAGGAGGGGAAAAACACACACACACACAGAGACACAACTCATCGTCGATCCCCAGGAAGATGTGGAAAAAAAACTCTGGGAAGTGGGGGGGGAGGACGAGCGCCCAGAAAAGACAGGAAAGTGTAGGGAATCTGCTGATTTGTGTGTGTGTGTGTGTGTGTATTTCTTCGTGCGCCCCAGGGCCCCTTGGGAGACGCTGGGTCCGTGCCGTGTCCACCGTCGGCGGCCCCGCCGGCGGCGTGCCACGTGGAGCGCCGCGGGCGACCAAGAGCCGTTCGATGTAGAACGACTTTGACGTTTCGGAGACGGCAGATCGACGCGGTCTGTCCTCCTCCTCCTCCTCCTCCTCCTTCTCCTCACTCCTCGTGTCCTCCTCCTCCTCCTCCTCCTCCTCCTCCTCCTCCTTCTCCTCACTCCTCGCTGTCCGCCTTCTCCTCGCTGACCGGCAGATGGTCGCCCAATTGTGGCCGCCCCTCTTCCTAATTTGTTTGCGGGTGCACTTCGAGAGCGTTCTCGCGCCAATTATCTGTCGCTGTGCCCCAGCCTCGGTCGTGCCGCCCTCTGGACTTCTCCTTGCGGGCCGCAAGCAAAAACACGGCCGATCGTTCAAGGTTGAAAGATACCCGCGGTGTCAGAAACCAACGCCAGAGTCGGCGCGACACGAACCTGGCGTATGTCTCTGTGCGTCCCAAGACAGACTCAGGAGGGGAAAAAACACACAGACACAATTCATCGTCGATCCCCCGGAAGATCTGGGAAACCAGGGGAAGTGGGGGGGAGACGAAAACCCAGAAAATAACGGAAAATTTGGGGAATCCCTTTTATTCCTCCTCCTCCTCCTCCTCCTCCTCCTCCTCCTCCTCCTCCTTCTCCCCCTCCTCCCCCTCCTCCTCCTCCTCCTCCTCCCCCTCCTCCTCCTCCTCCTCCTGCCCCCCGAAGGCAGACACATCGCATCTGCACGTCTCGCTGTTGCCCCAATCAAAGACGGCGGCCCTGAGCTGCTGGCCTCCGTCCGGGGCATCACGCAGCCCGCGCTGCAGGCCTACCGGCGCGCCCGCCCGGAGGAGATGCCGCCCGCCCGGGCCTTTGGGCGCCCCGCGGGCTCTCCCGCGCGCGCCGCCCGCGCGGCTCGGTGCCCCCCCCCCCCCCCCCCCCACCGGACACGGTGCGGCGACCTCGCCGTGTGGTGCCTCCTCCTCCTCCTCCTCCTCCTCCTCCTCCTCCTCCTCCTCCTCCTCCTCCTCCTCCTCCTCCTCCTCCTCCTCCCTCCCTCCCTCCCTCCCTCCTCCCTCCCTCCCTCCCTCCCTCCCTCCCTCCCTCCCTCCCTCCTCCCTCCTCCTCCTCTCCTCCTCCTCCTCCTCCTCCTCCTCCTCCTCCTCCTCCTCCTCCTCCTCCTCCTCCTCCTCCTCCTCCTCCTCCTCCTCCTCCTCCTCCTCCTCCTCCTCCTCCTCCTCCTCCTCCTCCTCTCCTCCTCCTCCTCCTCCTCCTCCTCCTCCTCCTCCACTCCTCTCCTCCTCCTCCTCCTCCTCCTCCTCCTCCTCCTCCTCCTCCTCCTCCGTGCGGCGACCGCGCCGTGCGGTGCGTCCAGGGGGACGCGTCCTGGCGCGGCCGATCCGACGCGGCTTTGACGCCGTGCCGATGCATTCCGACCCTCAGAGGAGGAACAGGTACCCATACCTCTCCCCTCCCCTCGTTTTCCCCTTCTTGGGCCTCATCGCAGGGTCTCGTCGCCACCGCTGGATTCGCCGCGAAATCCTGGTCAGAACGCACCCCACGAGAGGTCCGGGGAGTAGCGGTATTGGTACCCTTTGGTTTCCCCAGATCCGATGCGGCTTCGACGCCGTGCCGATGCGTTCAGACCCGGCGCGCCTTCCGATCCGCTGCGGTTTCTGTGTTTCGATGCTGGCCGATCCTGCCCAGCCAGTCGGGGGCACCGGGGCGGGGCGGTGACCATGCCGTTTGGTGGCTCCGTGGGGATCGCGGGGCTCCTGGACGCTTTCGTCGGTTCCCGGAGGTTCTCCTGCCTCGGGATGCGATGCAGCAGCTGCGCCTCGCCGGGAGCGTTCCGGGGGTGCGCTGCCAGGACCGTCCCGAACGGCCGCCGGAGACCGGGCTTCTGGCCCAGATGCCGAACCTTCGGAGGAGGGCCGGTGCGGTATACCGTTATACCGTGGGGATTCGAGGTCACCGCATGGTTTCGGGCTTTGGGTCGCTCTCCGCAGACGTCTTGAGCGACTGAGGCCTCCAGGGTGCCAGCTCCGTGCGGTGACGTGCCGTGCTGTGAGGTCTCTTGGGATTTCGAGGTCACCGCACGGTCTGTCACCGCACCGTTTTGGCACCCCCAGTGATCGGCGACCTGCGATGTAACGATCCGAGGTGTGGATTTGCCCAGAGCCACCAGGGGGATCGATCCCCCAGGCGCCGGTTATGGAGAAGCCCTCGCCTCGCTGATGACCAGTGGTGCATGCGGCTGCGTATTTTCGCGGACGGCAAGACGGCGCAAACATGAGCATTCGACGGTACGCGCGCATGTCCTTGGTCTTCGCGGAACCCCCCAAGTCGACGCCTCCTACACCGCCCTGGCGCGCGTTGCGCTAACCCAGAATATCCGCG